ATTGAAGTCAGGTGAAGAGAGTATTCAGGGAGGGCAACAAGTCCAAATTTGTGGCAAGTTAGGTTCTCATTTACAGACTGTACCAAGTTTGGTCAGGGAGGTTACTTTAAACAACCTATTGTACCAACAACTTTTTAAAATGAGATAATGAGATTGGGGCATGAATGTTTATTATGGGATCATCTAGAAGCACAGAAAACTGTTGATTTTAACACAATTCTATTGATATTGTTGATATTGTCATGTGATATATGTCAACGCACACTTCCCAGAATGGAATGTACCATTGGGGATGCGTTGCAATTGATTTGGTCGGGCCTGTAGACCATGTTACAGATAAAGGAAGATATGTGATAGTCATGACCTATGCTACAAGATATCTAGGACTTTTGAGAGGAATAACAGACAGAAGTTGTGTCTGAAGCATTATTGGTTTGAATTTCTAATAGGTTGGGTGTTTTTCAACATATTCTGACTGATCCTTGAAGCCAATTTGTAAGTGACCTGGCGAAAGTGGTAAGTTGTCTCTTGTCAATTTCTGTTACGCCTTTCCATTCCATTCCATTCAGCTTGCAATGCATTTGTGGAAAGATTCACTGGAACACTATAAACTATGCTCCAGAAAATGTGTGGTGAAAGGCCAAATGATTGGGATCGGTATGTAGACACTTTATGTGCTACAATGAAGCACGAAACGAGAGCCTCGGATTTTCACCAGTTGAGCTCTTGGGAGAATGGTAAGAGGAACTATGTCAATCCTTGGAGAATTGTGGATGGGTAAGTCTATTTCTAGGGAGGTGAAGTCAACCTACCAGTTTGTGCTGGATCTGCGTGACATATTAGGGGAAACATGTCAACTGGCTAGAAAGGGGACAATTGTTACAAAATGGATAAGTAACGTCAATTTGAGATAGGTGATTATGTTTAACAGTGCATTATAGGGGAGGAATGCAAGGCCCTTTTGCTGTGGAAGAGCAAGTGCGACAGATGGATTACAATATTGAGAAGAAAGGTCAGATTAAACTTTATCAGGCTAACCAGTTATAGAAATACGAGATGAGATCGAAATAACCCGTGGACAAGCACATGGAGTGTGTTGGTGTTGGATTATTTGATAGCCAGGGTTCAGATGATTCAATGAGTTGACAATACAAATCATGAGGCTGCATCGTCGGTAAGAAAAGCGTTGAGGATGGAAGGGGCTAGATAATTATCAAGCAAAGAGAATGATCCTGCTACTCGTGAAATTTACCTCAGAATCAATGTCAAATCAATATGAGATGTATGCAAAATTGCGGGATTTGTACATTTATTGATATATTATTATTGAACTATTAAATTGTTTTATGGCGATAGGTATTCAGTGTTTGGAGATATATAGAGTGGCAGGATGTTTCTTCTAGTCACTACTAGAGAAACGGACCCGATCCGAACGTTAATATGTCAATGTCTGATCTCGTAGGTATTACAGTAAACCATTAAATAATATTACATCAGGGGAGTTTTTCAGATATATTGTGGGGGCGTCGTTTCGCCATAGCTGTTAGAATGTTAATTATACTAATTTTCACGTGTCTCACTCATCACGCATATACTCCTTAGAACAATGCACAGCATTGTTGCCACGTTTACCGGGGACTTGCTGGAAAATATATACCGTCATCATTCAAAGACTCATTTTCACCAATTTTGAAGAAACTGTACGTAGACAGGGCCGTGTTCGATCGCTATTATTATTTGCGTCCGTTGTTGTGTGTTACCTATATTTGTTTGCCACATTAGAAACCCAGTTAATAGGGGTGGTATAGGTGTTATTAGGTAAAATTTAAACATGTTGTTTACACCAAATAAAAGCATGTGATAGAGTTACATAAATGTTTTTTTGAATTTGTCCTAATGGCCAATTAACTTCACACTGCGACGAATATTGAAAGTGGTTACATAGAGTAAACCAATACACTATCAACATTGTGCAACGGTAGTCTCTACAAAATTACGCTATATTGTATTCACTGATTGTGTAACCTCTCTACTGTTTTAGGTGTAACAAGAGAAGTACATTTGTGTCCACACATTAGAAATGAACGATCAACGCCATGGAACGAATAGATTGGATACATTTCATCATACTCTAGGTGTTATTAATCACATAATATAATAGTCTACACTTGGCAATGAAATCTAAAATAATAGATGACGCCATGTTTTTTTTCCGGTCAGATGTTAAAGCCAAAAGCCTTAATGCATATACACTGCTGACTAGCAGTCAGTCAAGTAGTCGGGAAAGCAGTCGAACGAGGGCAGTTATACGGTAGTTACATTTATCTGGGGGGGCAGCGCATCGTCAAAATTAGTCTGGACTGACAGAGAGAGTATCATAACGTTATAATACACACGGTGATATATACGACATGAATTGTGCTCAAATAAATACTTACCCGGAATCCTTCATGTAAGCACGTATATATTAAAGGGTTGAGAAAGCTGTTAGCCATAGCAAACCAATGGACACAGAAGAACACTCTCAGTACATTTCTACGATAATATGATGACGTCAAATACTCTCGCTTTATTGAGGTTACAATATTGAAAATATTAATCGGCAACCAGCAAAGACCAAATGCTAGCACGACAATGATTAACATTCGTATAACCTGTAAAAATAGGGAGAGAATATATATGTATTTATGTAATTAGAATATACGTTCACCTCACCTACTTATGTCAGCTTAGAGCTTTGTAGCTGATTTGTTTAAAGCCACCTTTTGAAAATCGGTATACATAATATATTTTTGGGTAAAATCATAGATTTTGTTTCTTTTATATATTATAATAATTATGGAACAGTGTGTTGTATATTCAGTTTATATGTAGAACAAAATACCTTTATCTTTTTTTGCAAGTGCACCAAGTCACGTGCTTGCTGTGGATTACCAGGCAGACTTCGTTGCCAGAGTATATACGCAACACGTTGGTAACTGTACCACAATATACACGAAGGAATGACATACGCTACTGTAAATACAAATATTTCGTAAATGATGGGGTCACGTGGGTGTTCCCACCATTCGTCACATTGAATCAATGTCCCGTTGTTACTAGCTTTCGTACGTACGGTCGCCAATTCAACCATAGCAAGGGACATGGATATTGTCCATATCATCACAAGAACGACACTGGAACGTGATTTTGAAACACGTAAACGAAGCGGTCTCATCACAACAATGTATCGATCAGCTCCAATAGCTGTTAGTGTGAATATGCTCACACTGGCTGACACCTAAGTATTAAATGAAAAAAACAAACAATTTGAATTAATAACAACAATGTATTCTAATGTGTATGTTAATTTGATTGTCAATCCTTGTATTGAATGCATATACGTCTTAGATGTTCATGGTGTATACACACGCGGGCGTCATGAGTATACAATATCGTTAAATCGCGGTAATACAATATTGGGACTGGCACGAGTATTATAAAATTGTAGCCCAGCTTAATGTTGACTATTACATTTGTACGTACTAACTATTTCTGAAACAAAACGTGTATCTGGACACATTCTCTCTAATAAATAATAACGTTTGTTAAATGTTTGTTGAAGTTATATGACTAAGTAACTTGACCGACCCAAAATTACAGTCAATTACCGCTGGTTTAACAAGCTGCATTTGGGTTATTTTGAACGCAACCTCCCTTTCAATTTAAAAATACGTACTTTATAAATGTCAAATACGTTTTTACTACATGTGCGAAGATGTATGCATAATATACTTATGGATAGCTTTAATCAAGTAAAATTGCAGGTCATTAAATTATAGTAAAACATTTGCTATGATATATTGTACGCGTTTGGCATTTCACTTTTAACGACTTGAAATTACGCAATAAATAATCACCTACTATACCCAATAATCGTTATATCTCTAGACATCACCGGCTACTATTGATAGGCTGCTTTCAGGGATATTTGAATTTGTGGATACAGTTTCTGATTGCTTACATTTTAGTTAAATTGTATGTACTCTATTATCATGCCCATATATTAGTAATCAAATTATATCAGTCCTAATTTTTGAAATCAGTTTGTAAAAAAAATCGAGCTAATAATAGGGAGCTGTTACAACGAATGTCTATTTTCATAATTAACCCCTTCACATCATTGTATTTAATTATCAATTCGTCTAAGGGTAACTTTATGAATTTCTCTCAATATCACGTGCTTGGCTCGAGGTATAGATTTCAGATGTTATAGTATTATACCTCTTCAATAGCTGCAATATTTGATTTCCATGGTTTTCATAGGCTTTCTTTCATTTCGATAACACTAATTATGGAACTTTGGGAAGTACATTTCCTCCACATCATCCTTCGCATTATATAAAGCTTCACACAAATTGATTGCTGAATATATCTTAACAAGTAATTGTTCTCTGCATTGGTTCAATTTTTGAAGGTCAATCAATTTTATGCAAGTCACGCTACTAGTTGTTTAAGATGCCAAGTAACATACAATTTTGAAATACCTCCCCTCAGTTTAAACTCGAGTGGACTAATGGCGGAAAATCTGATTATATATCATTAAAAGTGAACTTTTATAAGACATTCGTATACAGAACTGACATTAACGGCTATAGTGCAAGATTCACAGCTTGTGTACTCGATGTTCATGTAAATTGTATAGTATTAAGGTAGCGAAAAGGAATTTTTTTCTTGATTTTTCAAAAACTGATAACACGGGTTACTTTAGACCTCGATGCATCACCCTAGTTTTTCAAAAGAACAAAATTTCAAAAAGACGCTGCTCAAAGTAGTGTTTTAAAACGCTAACACAAGTAACCACGACTGCTGTTTCGTGCATATTTGCATAATGTTTATTTTGAGACGGTTTACATCTTATCTATATACTGTATATTGTTGACGATTTCTTATATAACGGATGATGAGCTTCCCGTCTCAAATAATGCGTGTTTACCTAGCGTCTATTGTCAGCATTAATGTCAGTTAAGACTGGTCGGGAAACATGGTCATAACTTTGTGCAACTTTCGTTTAAATAGTTTTATTTTCCTAGTCAATATTCTATTTTATTAACACCTTTTTACTAACGCAATGACGAGGAGGAAAAGAAAGCGAAAACGCCGATAACAGACGAGGCAACGAAAAATCTGAGACACTGTGCCGCTTGAGCATATTATTACCGACCTCACGAGTGACACGAAAGGGGCGAGAGGTTGAACTATCCGCATCCACGCGACAGATTTTCAACTGACGACACCGATACAACAAACAAATAAACGAGTACAGGAATTCTGTTGCTCGTCGAAATCAGCCAAATCATAACAATGCCGGCCGTTATTGTTTTCTATCTTTAGCAGTGGTTTCAATTCATTCACACATCTTAACGTGTTGTCTGTTACATAATATAAATAAACGAAGTTATTTGTTTAGATACAGTTGTACCCGTAACACGCTTTGATTGAAGTTCAAAGTAATGAACATAGTAATAACAAATTCTACTTACTCATGACAAAGAAAGAATTTAACATCGATATAACCTTTTGTAATTTTCACACTCGGGCTTGAAATTATTCGTTATCTGACACGCTTAATGGGTTCTATGTTATCAGTGGTTAGTTAGTGTGGTCATTAATGCAGAAAATCTACAGTGTTTTATTATCCAAAACCGTTTATCGCTTTTTTTCTCGAGTTTAAGTTTTGATTCAGTACGGCTCATTGTGACTGCCGTGAAATCAAGTGCGTTCGGGCTAGGACATTTATTAAAACATGAACTTTTATCGTTCACAAGATAAAGAAAAAGCTTTGTCGCAGAAAATTAGTATGTTAAAGTTGCCAAGTATGAAATAATTAGAAATAAGAATAAGTAGAAATAAGAATGGGTCTTTTGGTTATCAGGGTCACATTTCGATGGACCTGATTACGGACAATGCAGGGCACAAATTTTACGAGGAAATTCCACAGTGTGCTCTAATTGCAATCGCGGATTTGGTCATTTTTTTCAAGTTTCGCCATTATTGTTGTCAAATGATAATTATGTAAACAATAACTGTCCAGTTTGTGCGAACCTTTATATTTAGGCTTTTGAATCATATACGCTAAATTACTGTTCTGAATGACACAACATACATAGAATGCTTTATTCAAAACGTCATCGAACCCCTCCTGCTACCCTAACAGTGTCCATATTGTATAAAAAATCTTTGCATGTTATAAGATACTAGACGTTTTCTTAATTGACACAGCTCTGGCGATACACGTATAGTAGCGCCTCGTCTTATTACAAGTAAAGGACTTATATAATACATATGGTTGCTATGCGAACATATTTTCAAGTAAACCCATCCCCACTAGATACGACATGATTTATTCATGTTGACATCAAATTTCTAGTCAGTAATGCATCACGATTTATCCCAGAAATACAGAATGATCACCGATTTATAACTAAAATTAATTTATGGAATATAGGAATATAAAATATATATGTACTCCATAGCTTTATGGGTTGTTATCATACAAATCCTGAAATCACGTACTGCCAGTGCGGCACAATGAAATATGCATCACATTGCTTCAAATTAAAAGCACTGATTGCAAAATTAGGTCATTTTTGGTCCATGTGATTCAAAACTAATTATCAATCATTCGAAAGTGTATTTCCTCCTATAACTGTTCTTATTTTCAACATTGATTACTGCATAAAATAATGAGAAGGCTAAAACATGATAATTTTACTTTCACGTGATTAATAATTAAATCGATGTACCACAGAGCAACATTTAAATGTATTGATAACTTTGTTTTATACTTCAAGCCGGTGATATCTTTTGGTATGAGAGAATTCTATAAGAATTTGTTAAATACACGGCTATTGTATTTATCACTGCGCAATCAACGACAGAGTACGGTGATTATGGACACAAAGTAAACGCACAAATGTTATGCGGTTCCATTTTCTATTAACTTACATATGTTGATTGTACGAAAGGTATAAAATTTAATATTCAGAATATACAGTTGTTGAATACTGGTGATAAACTTGAACAACAATTGCATACGTCGTATCCGAATTTATATTGGTATTTAAAATTAGTGTTTTTAAAAGATTTACTTTCACTCTCACCTCCACTTCTCGAGTGGCAGATTTTAAATCGTCATAATGTAGTATACATGGGCATTGGTTGGTGAGCTGCAAATAACATTACATATACTTACACTCAATGGGTCAGTTAAATCAAGTGTTTTTAATACGAAGCACTTCAAACATTAGATTGTCAATTTAATTTTATTAATGAAATGTTATTTACTATATAATAGCACATGAGTTGAAATAATATATTTTAATTTGATTATGATTACATACATGGGCGAGTTATTATTTTATATTTAAAATGTGCATACTTAATGAGCTATGATATTTCTAGTTAATACTTAGTAATGCAGAATGCTTTTACGTTGAACGTATTACTCAAATTTTATTATTATTATTAGTATTATTTCAAATGGTCGTTATTCCATGTTAAAATATGCGATTGATGTTTCACAATCGGAGCATACGTTAGTCTATTACGTGAAACAATTAAGAAGCCACACTACTGACATACATTTTAAACATTCTCATAAATATAGTAATTGCCTGAATGGGGTAATTTAACATGTCTATGGCCCTAGAAAATAACTCGAATTCGCGGTGGCAGTAGCTTTCCGCCTCTAAAGATAGAAAAACAGTTTAGGTTAGTTTAGTTTAGACTACTCGTCAAGTCTCGTCGTCACGCCACGGCAGAACACATGGACCTTAAAAGCCGATGTTCTTCACTATCATTTGGGTTTACATATTTGTTGACTAAGTTAACATCGCCATTGCGGAATATTAGTGAAACGTTTTTTCAAGACATTGTTAAAATAGACATAGCGTCTTCTAAGAATAATGTCAGCTCTAATTAAACTGAAAATTTAACTGAATTGACGCCAATAGGTTGACATTAGATGCGATTTTGTATTTTCTATTTCAACCAGGAAAGGCAGGAAAAGGAATTATGATATTCAATGTCTGAAACGGTATTAACAATGTTTTACAAATCGAAGTTTTGGGCAAATTAATGCTGAATGAACATTTGTTATTATAACATTATTTCATATTATTATATGTGTTATTATAACATAATTCAGAAAGATCTTTAACTTTATTTTAGTATTGAAATGTAGAAATTGTTTATATTAGCCCAGACATAGTTGTATGATTGAAAGAAGAATATGTTCCAACACAGACATTTTCTAGAATTCTCGTTACAATTTTACATTAATTTGAATGGGTCGTCGTTTATTAAATTGTCATGAATTGGAAATTGATAAACATGATTATGTAAGCAATTGTTTCCCATCATTGAAAACTTTAAGAGCTCTAAATGTGTCACAAGACCCGCTTCCATAAACTATATTATATTCTATCTATGTCTCCATGACATAGTGTAGTAATCTGCTTGATCGCGCCTAACAAAATTAACATAAGCTTTACGTAGGCAAAATAATCATATCAATATTTTATCGAGCAGAACAGTATTAAATAATGTTGCGTTTCGTTGCTGTTATTATACAGACTAGATGTCGCCAGTTCTCGTAATGATATTGGAACATGAAAAAAATTCTCTTACACGTTGCGATGATAGTCCAACGAAGGCTAAAAACAGGCTTTAAACACACATGATAAGATGGTCAATCTTCTAAAACTGGTAACGTGAGTGAACACTCTTCTTTTCCAATATGATGCAACACTTTAACTAGTGCACTAGTTATATTGAACAGATGCGTTCATATTGTATAGCTTACCTGTTGTATGAAGAATACGACTGGACACATAACATCGCCAAACACCCACTCGTGCATTACAGCGGACATGAACGTAAAGGGCATACAAAATAACGCCATTGAAATATCCGCAACAGCCAAATTGATAAGATACTTGTTTAGCTCAGATTTGACTCTATTACCGAATGTCAGCACGCATATAACAATGATATTGCCGATTAGAGTTAGTACAATTGTAAGTACGTAGATGATCATTAGAATAGCTTTCTCAGTTTTACTCAGGTCTGTGTTTGGACAGAATAACTCGTTGAAATTATCTTCATAGTACGATGAGTTGGCGGAATACTCGTATAGATACATGTATGTGGAATTCCATACTATATCTGGACAATTCCTTTGAAAGCATATGCAGTCATAATAATCGCTCTCATCCACGACAATATCGTGCTGATCCATGCTTGCAGCCGCTGTACTGTCAGTATTGTGTCAGCTCGCTTATCACTCACTATGTACCTACAAGTAAATTCCCACACGTTCCTATCTTCTAACTGCTTTGTGATGACAGTACCGGTTAGATGAATGTGAATAACTCAATCTAAGTCCAATGTCGCGTATCGCTGACAGGATAGATTTCTTTCCTGAAAGACATGTAAAATGCAAACAGAGCAATACAAAACGTGTGCAACAGCGGTACATGCGACACTGTACTGGATTTGACAGAGCGATGGGTAATCAACTTGTATTTAGCATAAGTAACTGATGCGTAGATACGTGTTTTAAGTAGATGGGAGTGAGTCCCTAGATGAAAACAGTACCATCGATCGCATAGATGTGACAACCAAATCATCAATGCTTTGAGATAATTAAATCTGATTACCTAGTAATATGATATCTCGTCAGTGGTCCCCAAATTATTAAACGGATTTAGTAATTGTCATTTGTTATTCAACAAAGGCCTGGGCCAAACCCATGGACCCAACACTGGGTCAACGTGTGTGTTGCGGAAAATATGTGGAAAGCATATAAAATTTTGGCTGAAATTGAGAAACGCCCATTACGTGTTCAGGGTTAAAAAATGACCTATATTTCAAAAGAATTACATATAAATATAAGGCAATATCTCCTTTCAGACTGCACTGCACTGATGTCACTGCCACAAAATGCTCACTTAGTCGGTGAAAATGCAATTTCGAGCATTTGAATGAATTGTGATACATTTAATAAAGAGTACAGGTGTGTTTTTGTTGGTCGCAGACAAAAGGGTGCAATCTCACGTTCTACTGCTATTGAATCCGAATTTTCACCGAATATCGCTGAGATATCTAGTATACGAATATAAATATTTGTTACCCGTGATACGTAATCGTGAAAACAGTGAGACAGTAATGTTTATCAATACATTGTACTGCCTTTTTCATATCGTGCTATTTAATAAACAACTGCAATAAAGAAACATGTGTTTCATTTTTACTTGTATAGTTTGTAGTTCATCTTGGGCTGATAATTGTCTGTGTTTATTGTTTTAATATCTTGATATCATCGATAATAGCTCTATGATCATGTGTGCTTAGTTCATAGTACGATGTCAAAAACTTGTGCAGATACGTCATTAAAATATATTCTTTATCATAATATCATAATAGTATTTACGTTACGTTAAGTATGGCAACTGTCCAATATTTACTTTTGGTTAACTATTATAATGGAAATTTCGAAAGGGAGATAGCAAATGATTTTCTTCCACTCAATATTTTGCTAGATTTCTTCTTTTATACAGTTTTTTGGCTCCGCTGTAATCCAAGATGACAGAGCGTAACTGGTCATATAGACGATTTTCTGCCATCGTCCATTCATCTGTAAATAATTAAATCTTCCACTTCTTTTTGAAAAAAACAAACAAATACCAGTTTGGCCGCTATTGTGTTGCTACAACCGATCAACTGGATATTTTGTATATAATATATATATGGAGATAGCTTATTAAAAGAAAAATATTATAATTATGATCAGTAACGTGATTTGGCCGCCATCAATTGAGTTTTTGATAAATATATATGAAACTGTGGGCATTTGTTTCTCCTAAATGCTACCAATCACCTTGATATATTGTATATAACATGAACGATCATAGCCTTTTACATGATGAGAGATTGTCATATATGATCATGTAACCTCATTAATTTGCATAAGCACATGGCTCATTACATATTCTGAAAACCATATCGTAATAACCAAACCAGATAAATACATGGGCCCAATTGCATTTCAACCTCATGGTACTGATCAACTACTCTAATAGCAATCCAGTGACCACATTATGAAATATATGCCTGATAGCTTAGGCCCGCTGAAACCGCTTGTGGCTTTAATTCAATTTCAGCTTGAAAACTAGTAGCTAAATTGATTCTATACTTGGTATGTTGGTACCGTGGGGGTCCTCTGTGTGATTTGATAATTTTGGGATGATATTTCAATTCTCTATTTATTGTTAATAGTTATTTACAACTTCTTCCAGAAAACTACTAGCTAAATAGCTTTGATAACTGGTTTGTAGGCATCTTGTATCAGCCTTAATCAGATCTGTTCATTTCGTGACAATATTTTTAATTTTCTATTTTTAGTGAATAGATTTGTTATTTATCATGTTAAAAATTATATTTTCGATTTTTTCTTGAACACTACCAGCTAAATTCCGTTGATACTTGGTATGTAGATATATTGGGTGGACCTCTGTTACATTTGTTCTCTGTTTTAATAGAAAATGTCATTTTATGTGAAAATTCCATTTTTACCGCTTCTTGAATATCACTAAATGAAATTGAGTTGATACTTGATATATGTGCACTTTGAATGGACCTCTAATTGATTAGTTTACTTCGTAATATTAGGAGAACTCTCTACTAATTCACAGGCATATCGTTCAACCAGGGTAATTGATCCACTACATGGATATTATTATGATTAACGTTATCAGCAATAAGATACGTGTTGAGACATGTATAAGGTAAAGCAAATGTCATTATTATGTTTACGTAACTGTACACGTCCTTATTATAGCATGGCTCTGCTGTTTGTTATATAGTCCAACATGTGTTAGTGGAGGCAGTTTAAAAACATGACGCATGGGGAAACCAGTGTGCATGTTATGTGTGACTACTGTTTCAGCAACATTTATGCAGATTTGTTTAATGATCTAAATAGTACTTAACATTCCGCTTATAACACATAGTGATGGTGTTTGTCGCGCATATCGCGACATTTAATGTAAAGAAACAGTTCACACTAAACGTGACTACTGCGAATGATATGTGCCATGGTCATGTGATGACTGCTTATGTCTGCTTCATATGAAACACCACAGAAAATACAATACCTACCAGACGCCGTCATTGTAATATTAGTATACATTATTTTCAATTTGACATGTGACTTTCGATACGTAGATCTTAATACATTATTCGCTTGTTTGTGAATGTTAGATATGTCAGTGACAAAGAAGAACAACATTCATAAATATGAATATAAATCCAGGATTTGTTTACATCTTGCATAGTTGTTTGTTCCATTGGCAATTACAATTCTACCATTCATCGCCACAGTTGTCACAGCGTGCAGTATCTTTTCGGTATTCCATGCGACGTGCACAACTCGTGTTAACAAACATCGTTTGCCTACAAGAAATTCGTATGCGCGCTGCATTGCGAAGAGTCACGTAGGCGATGTATGCGAGTGTGTCGCAAATAAAATAAAATGACCATCCTACCACTTAGATATTGTGAATTCACAGATGCGCAAATGTATTATTCCAGTTTCTAGAGGGAGTTTGGCTGTTTAGTATAATTCCCAAATTTGGTCTGGTGCATCCCTAGACTTGTATGCGTAATTGTGGTTTTTATTTGAAAGTATATATCACAGACATAAGAAACAAACATAATAAAGTCCTATGTACTTTGCCAGCATTATACGTCAGGCGAGTAATTTTAGAAGATTTGAATTTGTTGATGATTTACGTATTCGTACATGATGTCAGTGATATTGTCCAACGTTGTATGCCTATCACGGGATGCATGATAATCTTGCTCGATTAAGCATGTATATCAGATATATAATACACATCACTATAATCTGCGCATGGCCGCGGGATACATCCTGATAGCAAGGCATGCTTTTCTCATTGAAATATGATGAAATTGTTTTGCGTATCTGTTGATCGACTAATTAGTTGATTACTAGCGAATTGCTGTGTTATGTCTGGCATCGTTTAGGCCATGTGAGGTTCTGAACGGAACTTGGCTCAGTGATTTGGAACTAATTACGAGATAACCGTCGCTATTCGGACTACTATTTCTGACAGTTAGTATTCGCAATTATTAATGTAGTGAACGATTAATCAAAAGATATGACGTGTCCAGTACTTAGTGTGATTGGCTTTATGATTGAAGGCCACGCCTTAGAGTCTTAATACTGTTTTGTAATTGGTTAGAGTTTTGAAAATGAGTAAAGAGAGTGTTTAGTTGGTCTTGGCGAGTACACCACGACGCAGTCCAGTCTTGGAGAGTCTTGAGGCGAGCCTTGAGGCAGTCCAGACTTGGGCTAGTCTTGGGTCAGCCTTGCGATAGTCTTGGGGATTTTTCCCCAGGGCGCTGTGTCTTATAGAGTGCTCGACTGATCGACTAAGACAAGAGTTGTAACGTATTTCGTTGTGTGTGTCTTATTTGACTGTAAAGCTTAAGTGACTTTCCTGATCCCGTACCTCAAGGGGACGAGATATAGAGATGAGACGAGATTCCCCCTGACACATGTGGAGAACCCTAGAGGAGAAGAGATTTTTCCCCTGATAGAAACTTTGAGTAATTTAAAAAAAAAACACTCGTACTTAGAGTACGTTACCTTTTGACATTAGAAATTGCTCCAACGGCTATATTCATGAGAACAGAAACAATAACAGTACCCCTCATCATTATTTGTTATCATATGTCGCACATTCGATAAGCTAAATGATAAATAATATTTTTACGCCGTTAACTGAACACCGATGAAATCACTATTTAACAAAACAACTTGAGTCTACGGCTGCTGACTTTTATAAGCAATTTTCATTTCTACAATGAGGAAAGGGTTACACATATCATTTGGTTTCACGGCCATTACCACTAAAATATTCTACAAAACAGTTAAATTGAATAATGCCGCCGGCATTATACTCAAGCACATTCAATTGTTGATAGTTTTTGTAACAGAGCTGCATGACGTCATAGTAAATACTAATCTGAGGGACATTCGAATGCAGAATGACAAAAAGAAAATATTTTATAAATTTTCTTGAGTCGCAGAATAATACAATGTAATATTTAACTGTCATTTTGCCGGCAGCTGTCAAAGTCTGTTTACAAAGTATATGTAACTAAAGTATATGTAACAGTATATGCGGTGATTAGATACACTATTTAGAGGAA